AGTGAGTTTGAGTTTGGTTTTTTGGTATGAGAGAACAGTGAAACTTACATAAAAACAACTACAACATTTTATTGACAATTTTAAACTTGTATTTTATTAGAGAAATTATTAAACATATTCCTGGCATATAAACTAAATAGTGTATAAATTCATTCTTTCCTTTGGAGTCAATTTATAGCAAGTATAAAGTTCCAATGAAAATTTCAAGGCTGTAAAATATATGTGGAATATCAATAAATTAATTGAACATTTTGAAAGGAAAATGATGCCTATGGTTGTTGAATCTTACTGGAAACAAATTAGAACAATTGGGATGAAAACAAAAATGTAAAAAACTGCAAAAAAATCCCATCTCCAAAACAAAACAAAATAAAAAAACCTACTCAGCAGAAAAATTAAAATCTTTTGAATTTCTGACATTTCAGACCAACTGTACAAATGTTAATTTTTCAGAAGCAATAAACAAAATACATTTTCCCTCTGTAAAAAGAGAGTGTCTTCTATAGCATTGAAGGCATTTTGATTGATAGGGAATGACATGTATTACTTGTCACTGAGATTCTCATCTTCAAGCCTTCCATCTTGGATTTAAGAATGCAAAAATCAAATATATATGTATTGAGGAGCTCTGGTGGCATAGTGCCTAGGGTATTTGACTGCTAACCAGAAGGCTAGTGGTTTAAATCCACCAGCTACTCCTCGGAAGGAAGATTGGGCAATCTGCTTCCACAGTGATAGCTCCTCGGAAACCCAAAGAGGAGTCTCTATGAGTTGGATCTGAGTCAATGTCAGTGAGTGTGGTTTGTTTTTTTTTTTTGGGGGGGGTTATATATATGTATATATAAACTTTTATATACTTTACATCTATGAACCCATATACATACATGCATACAAAATAAATATTGTAATATGTATATATATATGTGGGTGTATATATATAAAGTACATAAAAGTTTTTATATATGTATATATGCATGCATATGTGTGTGTATGTGTGTGTGTATAGTACATAAAAAGCTTTGATGTATGGTATAATATATCACCATCACCAAAAACAACAACAACAACAAAAAATGCCAGAAGGTTAATGAGTTAAGTAGTAAAGTAAAATTCTAAATAAAAAAGGCAAAGCAGAAAATAGAGTAGGCTATTTAAGAAATCGTAAAGGAATATTTTGTTAGCTTTGATGTATATATAGATAGAGTACACAAAAGCTTCATAAAAAGTCTAAAGCAAACCTTGAAATGACAATAATCTTTACATCAGTGCTATGGAAATGTTTTTTTTTTTTTTTTTCTATTAGAATTGTTTGCCATTCTCTAAGCTTTCTGTAGCATAGTGCCTAAGGCAATTGACTGCTAACCAGAAGACTGGTGGTTCAAACCCACCAGCCACTCCTCGGAAGGAAGGTTGGGCATTCCTACTTCTGTAGTGGTATTGCCTCGGAAACCCAAGGAGGGCTCACTATGAGTCGGGGCCAACTTGATGGCAAATAACAACAAACAACAACAAGCTTTTTGTATAATGAAAATTATTTTGGGAAAATTTTTCATCAGTATACAATTTTTCATGCCCTACATAAAACATAAGTAAATAAAATATACACAGCAAAAATATTGGAAAGGAACATAAAAAAATATTAATAGAGGATATTTTTGGTAGATGACACTGTGGGAGTTTTTGGTTTCTCATTCTTTTATTCTTCATTCTTCAATCTGCTAGAACAAATTTCTTCTTGGCTTCTTACAGAGAACCTAGATCCTCATTAAGGAGCTTGCATGGCTGAGTGCCTAAGGCATTTGGCTTCTAACCACAAAGTTGGAGGTTCAAACCCACCAGACACCCAGCAGAAGGAAGACTGGGCAATCTACTTTCATAAAGATTCACCGCCTCAGAAGCCCTAAGGGGGTCACTATGAGTCGGAATACACTCGATGGCAGTGAATTTGGTTTTTTTTTGTTTGTTTGTTTTAGATCCTTTTTAGAAAGAAAGTCAAGGTTTACTTCCAAAACTAATATTTAGAGGCAAGGGAAGTTTGAAGAGGATTGCAGAACCCTGACTCTACAAGGTGTTGGATCTCATAATAAGAAATCACTTAGAAGAATTAAATGAAAATAAACATAATAATAAATTAACAAAACACAAAGAAAGACTCTGCAAATAGATTCAACTATATAACACCACACCCATTGCTGTGGAACTGATTCCAACTCATAGTGACATATCAGACAGAGGAAAACTGCCCCACAGATTTCAAAGCCTGAAATCTTTATGAAAGCAAACTGCCACATCTTTCTCCCACTGAGCAGTTGGTGAGTTTGAACTGTCAACCTTTCAATTAGCAGCCAAGTGCTTTAAAACTGTGCACCAGTATTCCTTCAACTATGTAAGAGGAGCTTAATACAATACAGTAAGCTTTCCAACACAATGGGATATAAATAATTATTTAATAAGTTTGGTTGAGATATTTAGTAGCAACTTGGGAGGAGTAAACAGAAGAAATTCAGAAGTTAAAGCCAATATGGCATGTCACACCAAAATAAATGCCTGTAGGGTCAGTGAGTTAAATACTAAACAGCGAACAATAAAAAAGCCAAAGCAGAAAATTGAACAGACCATTTAAGAGATCAGCAAAGAATATATTTTTAGCTTTAACATTTTAGAGGAAATGAGAAGGAAAAGATTATCACATTAAAATACACAAATACAAGAACTCTGTAATTACAAAAGAGAATAAAATATTGTGGAAATATTTAAAATTTTGATAAAGAAGATGTCTAATATATAAGAAGCTTACACAAAACTGCAAAACATGAAGCCAGACAATTGGGGGAAGTTATAAATAAAATCAGCAGAAGACAAAATTTGAAGTAATTAAAATATGTGGAAGTTCATGTTTATTAGGAAACAAATAGAAAGTTCAAAAAATTTCAGATACCATTTTAGAACCAGTGAAAAGATAAAAATCTAGACAACACAGAGAAAGTGGTCATTGCATTGCTAATACTTGCATATGTAACTCATTTTGAAAGCAATACGACAATAGGTAGCAGCAAGGGTGATAAAGATATTCCGTCCCTTTGGCTCAGAAATTTCATTATATGGAATTTATAATTAATATATAATCCTCAGAAGCAAAATATATCTGCAGAAAAAAAATAGCATGTTCTATTATAATAAAAAAATAAAAACAACTGGATAAAAATAGATTATAAATTAATGTACATGTATGAGAACTACTTAGAGAAAAATGTTATTGTATAATGACAAGTGAAAACAAAAAATATAAAATAGTATATAAGTAATGTTATTTTCAATTGCATATAAAATATAAATTATAATGATTTATGTATCTATATATAACCTTTTTTAAAACAAGAAACAAAATCGAAGCACAAACATACAGGAGTTCCCATTAAATGACCTTGACTTGCTTTCACAAAGTGCCCCTTCAGGAAATGCCTGTTTGACTTTCTATGACTCAGGTAAACAAAATATAATTCTAGATTGATATGAAGTGGAAAAATTTTATTTCTGTAGTTATGGACAATGCTTCAGGCATAGGGGTAAAGTAACTATGTCATATTTTTTTTTCTCTTTTCTACATTTAATCCTCAATATCAACATGCGACCAGTGTATTTACTATGTTAAAAATATACAGAGCCCACAGAATCAAATGATTGTGAGGATTGTGAGAGTGGTACAGGGTTGGGCAGTGTTTCCTACTATTGTACACAAGGTCACTACTATTTGGGACTGACTCAACGACATCTAACAGCAACAACAAACAGCAACAGCGGTCCGATAATCAGTAGAAAAGGATTTGCTGTATGCTGAGAAGGTCAAGAAAGAACCTCTTATCCCAACACACTGGAATTCAAATACATATCCAATATTTACGAGATAAAACTGACGTGTTCATTGAAATTTGAGTGCTATATATTGTTGTTGTTGTTGTTGTTATGTGCCGTCGAGTCGGCCCCGACTCATAGTGCTATATATAGGAAAGTTTTTTTAAAAAAGGTAATGATCTGTTGTTTTATTTAGCAATATTTAGCTATGTATATATCTATACATACATAAAAGACTAATTACTAAGATATATATATGTCACTCAGTTGTCTTTTACTAAATGAGGTAAAATTTCACTTCTCATTATCTGAATGATTGTTCAAAAATGATATTTAATTTTATTGTTGGTGAAAGTTTACACAGCAAATTCAGTTCCCATTTAACAATTTCTATGCATATTGTTTAGGGACATTGGTTACATTTTTCTTGATTGTCAATATTCTCATTATTTCCATTCTGATTATTAAATTTTCATTAATCTAATTTCCCAATCCCCCTTACCTTAATTTCTCATCTTTGCTTTAGGGTAAATGTTGACCATTTGGTCTCATATAAGTTGATTTTTTTTTTTTTTTTTTTTAAGAGCACACACTCACAGGTGGTCCTGTTTATTTTATGAGCTCATCTGTTAACCAACTAAAAGGTGACCTCCAGGAGTGGTTTCAGTTCCAGGTTTAAAGGGTGTCTTAGGGTGACAGTCTTGGGGTTCATCTAGTCTCTCCCAGTCCAGTGGTTAAGTGCTCAGCTGTTAAGCAAAAGGTGTGTGGTTGGAACCCACCAGCCATTCTGTGGGAGAAAGATGTGGCAGCCTGCTTTTGTAAAGATTTCAGCCTTGGAAATATTATGGGGCAGTTCTTCTCTGTCATATAGGGTCACTATGAGTCAGAATCGATTTGATGGTATCTAACAATAAAACCAAAAACCAAACTCACTACTGTCGAGTCAGTTCCGACTAACAATGGAGGACATAATATGTTGTATAGTCTACTAAATTTGTTGCTAGGATTTTGCTATAAAGACAAATCTGGTTTTAATAGTAAATTTTGCAGTCTCTATTTAAGAGGTTTGGAGAGATTATGTTCACCTTTAGTTCCCCCGAATTTGGACCTTTAAATACTATCCTCTCTGACTCCTAAACGCACCTTACCTGGTTCTTCTGGAGTTGGAACAGCACGTTTGCTCCTACTGCTTTGACTGGAGTTGCTTTCTCCTGGGGCTGGTGGTGCAAAGATCCCCTATTGAAAGAAAATTCCAAGTTATCGAAAAGACGTCTGAGGTCCATGAGAGACAGCAGTTTAGAAGGAATAGTGCTTAAGGCTGCAGCTGCTGGTAACTCACTTGTAGTCTCGGGGTGACAGCTGGAGTATCCCTCAAAGCTGCCGTGAGGGCTCCTGCTTCTGCCTTGGGAGATGCTGGCAGCTGCTTATCTTGGTAGGACTGCAGTTCCGCCCGGAGGCTCAACAGCTCAACTTGCAGGCTGGCCACTCGGTAGAAAGACACCACTGTCAGACAGGAGGACAGCAGGGTCAGCAGCAAGGTCACTGACAGGAGCTTTCCTTCTTTAGAGAACCAGGCAGAGAGGCTTTCCTTCTGGGGGAGGATGGAAACACACTGTTTAAGTTTCATTTCTTCTCTTTCCTTAAGGCAAGAAGAAAGGCGTAAGTGCTCCCTTTCTGTGGAGTCATCCATTGCATTACTTGAACTTTGAAGGTTAGGGCCTCTAGAATAAATGACCACAGGGAATGGATCATTTCCTGTTATCTGTGTTTGTTGATGTCCTACATTTAATACATCAGAGTTTGGCTCCCCCGGACAGGAGAGTTCTCCTGACTTTTTTTCTTTCTTCCCTTCTGCATCTCTGCCCCTACTGTACAGTAGGTTTTACTGGCATTCACCCTTCTCTTGGATTGCTCAATCAGTCTTCCTCATTTCACTTTCAGTTTTTGTAAGAATTTTAATGACATCTCAAAACACTCATACACAAGTGGGTCCCTCAATCTACTGACTAAACTTTGCATTTGGGTTGGCATATGCAAGAGATAACTTGTAAAATATGTACATGGTTAAGAAGCTCGTCCTAGGTGTTATGAGAGAGCTGTGTTGGTTTTGTAAGGCAGAGGAAAAATAGCATGAAATGTCCCTGCTGGTATAATAAAAGTAATTAATGTGAAGGTCAGATAAGCTAAGTGCTTTAGCATTGAATTGTCCTTAGTTGGAGTTGTGATTTATTACCAGTCTTCAAGCATGAATTAAATGAAAGAAGCTTGAAGGAGGAAAGGAAGCCATCTAGGTATTGTTCTTGTTCTTCTTCTTATTATAACAATGTAACAAAAATAATGTGACTAAACTTTAGAGACATATTTAGGTTAGATGTGAGGGAAAAATGTACTGTTAAAGGAATTTTTTTTTTCCTTTTGAGACTTCTTCACACAGCATGCCGCTCCTGGGTGGTCGGGTTCCACCTCTGCTGTTCTGCCTCAGATGTTTCAAGTCTCAGCTCAATCTGATACTATTTTGAGGTGAATTTGTCCTTACCTCCAATTTCAAATGCCTCTGTGCCACCATTAACTATTCTTTCACTGTTGTTGTTGTTGTTATATGCCGTTGAGTCGGACCCTACTTATAGGAACACCTCCTTGGGTTTCTGAGGTGGTATCACTACAAAAGTAGATTGCCTAACCTTCCTTCCGAGGAGTGGCTGGTGGGTTTGAACGCCCAGCCTTCTGGTTAGCAGTCAAGTGCCTTAGGCATGCTACCAGAGCTCCTATTCTTTCCCTAAGGTACCTTATCTACTAGGTTCACATTGGGTTGACTCTGTCTCAATCTAAAGTGAATAAAAACTTCCTAACTCAAACAAGAGCCACTTCAGTTTCAAAATCACCTTATTGTCATGTATGGAGATGCTGCCCAGATTGTTTGACTTATTCCAGTCCTGCCTTGTCTTCTTCTCTGTTCCCTATTTCTCAGTTTCTGGCTGTTCTGCCTTCAGCACTTAATACTGATTCATCATTCAACAAATACCATTGAGCACTTATCACCCCCAGGGCTAGCACTACTCTCCTGTGTACTAAGACTGCTATCTCATTCACATTTCTATGCAATTGCAAAAACAGGAAAAGAAAATTACTATAATGTAAAGTTAAATATTCAAATCCTTGAATTCAGAGTGCTTATCTTGGCTTTACTACTTATTCCCTTTAGGCAAATTACTTCATGTTTTTGTGATTCAATTTCCTCATCTGTAACAGGACAAAATAATAGTAAATTTCTCTTGAAATTTTAATGAGACTTACAGGAATGTAGGAATGGAATACATTTAGGATGATTCCAATTTTTCATTCGTTTTCATATAAATGTAATATTTTTTGTTATTACATCTAGTGCTTCAATAGACATTTTTGCACATGTCTCCTTGTAACATTTGTAAGAATTTCCAAACTAAACCCCTGCTGTAGGGTAAGCAAGAGCCCTGGTAGCTCAGTGATAAAAGCATTCAGCTGCTAACTGAAAGGTTGGTGTTTCGAACCCACCAGCCACTCTGTGGGAGAACGATGAGGAACAGGCGTCCATAAAGATTACAGCCTTGAAAACCCTATGGAGAAGTTCTACTTTGTCCTATAGGGTTGCTATGAATCAGAATGACTCAATGACAACAGGTTTGTTCAGGTTCAGGTATATATGGTAAGCACATCTTTACCTTTACCACTTGTCACCAAGTTACCCTCCAATGCTGTCCCATTTTCTTGCTGCCCCAGTATTGTTGATGTCATGAGACTTTTACCTACCTATTGGCATTGTTATTTATTCCCTCTGCTTCTGCAAGTTCCAGAGATCTTTTCTTACGACTTTTTACAGTCTTGATGCCTAAAATAAGATGTTCTCTAATAGCTCAGGTGGAAGTGTTCTTTTATAAGTGTCTAAATTCTTTTGGGTCAGATATAACAATTGTTTTGTCACAGTTCCTGTTTCTAGGTCAATCAGGGTGATGCATACTGGATAACACTGTAATTAAAAAATAGAATTCCCTTGAGAATTTTATTCTGAGAGTAAGTGAAACTCATTCAGGTTTATATATATATACATATATATACATATATATATATATATATATATATATATATATATATATAATCCTAAATACAAACTAAAAGTAGAAATGCATTCAGAATTCCAAGGCACTATTCGAAATCAATTACTCTCTGCTTTTCCCTCCTCATGACCCATTGAGTCGTAATTTCTCTGCCTGGCTAATCTCCTACAGTAAAATTCTGAAGGGAAAGTGGGAAAGTGAACTAATTGAAATGCTTTTAAAAATTACCTTGTCCTCTTTTGCACTGTTTAGCAGAGATCTTCATATGAAACCATCTCAAGAGAGATGGTCATTGTTTCAGACCATTTTAAAACAAGTACCAATCTTGGTTCACATAATGGGTGATTCTGTTCATAGAATAAGCTAGTGTTTCCTTGATGAAAAGGTGGCTGTGTGGCATACCCCTGAAGCAGACTTTGGCAAGCAGGACTGCAATTTGCTTGTCCTCTACAAGGATCACAAATTAAATTTTCTCTAAAAACAGATTGAAAACTAAGAGAGCATTCATGCGCTCTTAAATTCTTATTAGATGAACAAAAGGAAGTTATTACTCCATGAATCAAGAAACCGCTTCCTGCAGAGGAAATGGTTTGACAATAATTTAACTGAAATTCTGTTAAACCAATAGTATATTCATATTCATTGAATAATATAAGTTTATTCTGAGAGAAAATGTTACTATATGCGAGCCACATATGTTATAGTAAAATTCATATATATATTCAACGTTTACTCTCAGCTACATTTTACACATTGGTTTTTCTCAACTCAGTTATGAAGCATCTCCTGTAACATTTACGTGTACCATATTTAAGAAATACATTGGTGATACCGTGTTCTTTGGGTTTCTCAAGATTGTTCCATCCACTCAAGAATATGCAGTTAGAATAATGAGAAGGTATATGTGAAAAGAGGGAGGCCCACTGGCACAATGGTTAAGTACCCAGCTGCTGACCAAAAAGTTGGCAGTTCGAACCTGCCCAGCTGCTGCATAGGGAAAGACCTGGCAAACTGCTCCTATAGGTTATAGCCTGGGAAACCCTTTGGGGCAATTATACTGAGTCAGAATCAGCTTGATGGCACCTAACAACAATATATTTGGAAAGAATGCAAGTTACAAGTTTATCTAAGAGACAGAATCACAGCAAAAAAATAAACATCAACTATTGACTATTTGCTTCTTACATTGGCAACCTCAAAAATATTCAAAAAGCTTAATTTCTGACTCAGCAGTACTATGAAAGATTAGCAGGCTTGATGAACTTCTCCTATATCACTTTCTTTGAGGAAATAGTTATCATTCATAAGAATTTGAACCACTCAAGTATGAAAATAGCAGCTCTTCTAAATATACAGATATGCCTAAAAATATATCTAGGTAAAACAGGCATCCCAAAGCTCTCAAGATATGTAAGACAGCTGGACACTAATAATTGTTGTATTTCAGAAAAATCATGTTTTTTTCTTGGGTAGGAATATGTATGCAGTCAATTGCTACTATAATTATAGTGAAATTAGATTTGGAAGGCTAAATGCTAATTACTGTATAATTTAAATGTAAAGGAATATGTTAAAAATAGACGTTCTGGTCATTTTTTATACAAAAAAAACCCTGCACTTCCAGTAAAATGAAAGAATAGGCAGACAAACGACACAGACCCTTTTCAACAAAGAAAAGAAAAACCAATTGACAGATAAAGAAGATAATCCTGGAGCCCTGAGCTCTGAAAGGAACTATACAGAAGTGGATTCGGCACCAACTAGTGGAAAAACCTGAATGAAAACAGTGAGAACAGAGATGGTCGGAGCAGCTGACTGTCAGCTACTCTGTTGGGACCAACAGCCTGAATATTTCCAAGTGGTGTTGGGACCTGAGAATTGATCTAAAGATCAGCCCTGGTCACCAAGAGCTGCAGGGATGACTGTGCTGGTGGCCTATGACTAGGAAGGGAAACAGCAAGGAAGGAGTCAACCTGAGCTGTTGACATTCCGCTGTCTAGAGGGTGCAGCCATTTTAATTGTTTATAAGTGACAGTCATTTTGGATATTTAAAATGACCAAGGGTGCAGCCATTTTGAATGTTTATAAGTGGCAGCCATTTTGGATATTTAAAGTGAACAAGGACACAGCCATTTTTAATCTTTACAAGTGGCAACCATTTTGGATTTTAAAGTGATAGCATTATCATTCAGATTCCATGGACCTAAGAATAGATTCTGTTTGCCAATGTTGGCAGGGACATATGAGAGGCTGACAACAGGAAAGGAGACAGGTGGTGAGTGTGTAAGTGCTGTCAACTAGCAAACAGAGGAGCACAGTACCCTGTTTGCATAGAAAACATACAAATAAAACAAAGGAAACAAAAATCATGGGCAAATCACTCCAACGTACAATCACCAATTAAATATAAACACAAAAATGTCACAATTCCTTGGAAACAACAGAGCATCACAGTCCACACAAAGAATCAAGATAAAGCAAGAGAAACAAGGGACCAGGATACAGACCCAAAACATATCCCTGAGGAAGATGCAGCATTGGGACTCCCTGAGAAGGAATTCAAAAGAATTATATTTAGGTATCTTCAACAAATTGAGAG